AGTTTGCTGTTTTTTGGGACCTGGCCTGAAGCTCTCTCCATTTTGAATAAAGCTGTCGTGAGCAAAGTGTGCTGGTGTTTGCTCCCTGCCTGCTCTGGCTAATGAGTAACAGGACCCATGAGCAATTGGATCGCCATCTCCCTAGTCGTTGGGTACTGCATGGAGTTGAGGTCTAACACTATGAGACAAACAATTGGAAAAAAACTGTCTATAGGTTGTATAAGGAAATGTGCAGATCAATGTAGATAGGTGGGGTATGAATGTATAGCTGGATATAATGAGGTATCCTCAAAACAGTGTCTATACTCACTCCCACTCCTGGAGTACCTCTAGATGGGAGCTCACTCCCTCCACAGGCCTGTGAAGGAAAGCAAATCTGAACCTGAGCTGATGAGGTGAAGACTCCTCCACAACGAACTAAACTGGGGTTCATTTGTGTCCTGAAGTTCACCTTGGGGCTAAGTCATATGGCTGCATTAAAAAACCACAGATGCTGCTTTTGGTTGGATGAGCAGAAGCATTTATATTTATAGCTTAATTCACCAGCATTGTTGCATAACACTGTTAGCCTGTGGGGTCAGGCCAACTCTCAGGATCTCAATATTGCGCTGTTAGACAGGAGGGTGTGACACAGTTGCACATATACAAACACACAAATCAATTAGGTGCATACACACACAGACACACATACACACTACCAGCTCAGGCACATACACATCCAAACCAGCCTAGGCACATGCATACCTATCACCAATTCAAGCACATACACTATACACCCCAAAAGTTAGACACAGATCACTAATTCATATATCATGTACACAATGTCATATATAGATACATATATATATACACACACACTCACCAGTTCACACACATACAACCCACCTACACATACACACAGGTAAGTTCCTAACTTGTATGGTACAGTGTGTGTGTGTGTGCTTGGGGTACCTGGGATACTTTGGGGAAAGTTCAGATGAGAGAGAAAGAGTTAAAGTGTAGGGAGTGAAAGTTGCCAGAACCGGGATTAGAACCAGTAGGCTATAGAGAAGCTGGCTGAGGAACTGAGGCTTGGGGTTACTTAAGGTAGACTGGGGCTGGAAACTGAGGCAGACAGCTGGGATATTGTGGGGGAGGAGACAGATAAATGGTGGCAAGGAGGAGACAGCCAGGAGAGAAACTGAGGCAGAACCCTGGTTGCTCAGGGGAAAAGGAAAAGGCAGCGGGGATAAGACAGTGGCAAAGAAACAGGGGTTTGGAGGCAGAGAGGAGCTCAGGACAGGTGTTGGAAATGGCAGTGAGCCAGAAGCAGGAGAGGGAGA